TAATCTACTATTTTAGGAAGTCTTTGTAGTTCTGTCATCTAGTTTAGTGTAGCTTTGTCATCTCGTTTCATCTGCTATATACCTAATATGAACTAATTCTATAAATATTAGTGAGACAGCAATATACTCATCTAATAACTGGCTTATTTGTGTGTCTGTAAAAATTTAATCGAATTTCTGGAAACCATATGTATTGGAAGATGGAATGACTGAAAGGTTTGTTTTCGAAATTATTTTAGAGAAAAGAAAAATTTTAATATTGGCAACTAAAGATTTTAAATACAGAAAAAACCGCGCAAATGCAATTTCATATTATCGAAAATGGTATATTTCGAAATGATTCAATGACTCTAAAAAATATATTAAAACTACTCCTTTTAGGTTACCACCATAAAACTCTCTCTTTTTATTTCATTTTATCATTTTATCCTTTTATCTATGAAACTTTCCTGTAACAATAAACTAGATAAACACAATAGATTTGCAGGGAAAGGGTAACCATTGCGCAAGCATTCAGTGATTACCACGAAAAAACCTGCATAAAATTTGTACCAAAAACTGATAGTGATATCGATTATCTCTTTATCAGAAGAAGTGTACCCTCCGGGTTGTTTTCATCATTTTTTCATTAAATATCAATAGTTGATTAACATATAATTTTGTATATTTTTTCCATCCGTTGACTTAATTATTTGTTAGTTTTACTTGGAATATGAGCAATTTTTTGGAAGTATTCGAGTAATTATACTTAACGAAGATTTCCAGTACCTGTGCTAGTATCAGTTACTTTTAAATTAGCCCTCTTAATTATTAGAGAATTAATCTAAATTAATTTAGTTGTTCGTCATTTGTTGGACGAGGTGGCGGCAAACAGAATGTATTGTTAGCAGCTGGAAAATGTTATGTAAAGGGAATCGTCGCACATGAGTTGATGCATGCGATTGGGTTTCTTCACGAGCATTCACGTACCGAACGCGATGAGTATATAAATATCATAATGGAAAACATTATACCCGGTACTCGATACACTTAAGCTTGGAACTCTCTCTTCCTTCTTAATCAGTGTTAAGTTTAACTGGATTATTATGAAAGCAATCAATGTAAACATATTTGAGACTCAATTTTTCCAATTTAAAAGAGATCGGATGAAAAATTCATAGCCGCCTTTCCTTACCGTAATTTCCCTAACTGGCCAAGCTTATCTCTCAGAAATATTTTAAAAATAAAATTTAATCTTCGTCGAATTCTAGGGAAGCAACGGAACTTTGAAAAATATCCAGGAATAGTTGTTAATTCGTTGGGAATGCCTTACGATTATAATTCGGTGATGCACTATCACAGACAGGCATTTTCCCGTAATGGAAAACCAACTGTTGTACCTAAAGTTTGTAATTTATTTTTCTCTGCTAGGAAATTTATTATAATGTAAGATAATAACAGTTGGTAAGGGTTGACACATACATACTCCGAGAAGCTTCAAATAAGCTTTAAAAGCCCTGCTATCTGTTAGTCTCCGCGGCTGAGTATTCTGAATTATTTTATTTTCAAGCAATAGATGGAATTAAATAGAAAAGTTCAATGGCTGGCATTGCTCGATTCTTTTGAATGTTGAAATAATTATTACACCAATGTATAATTTTGTTATCATCCAAATTTTATATTCTTTTTCAAAATCATTTCCCAAAGATTTGAAATCCGAAAAATATTTTAAAAAGCGAATTTCTAATCACATTGCATACTTGTACTACCACCAAGCAATATATGCTAAGAATTTAGGATCAAAATGCGAAAATTGGACAGCGATACGGGCTGAGCGATATCGATGTCAAAAAGATAAACAAGCTTTATAAATGCGACAAACGATCAATGCCACTAATGACAGCAACTCCTGCTACAATGACCGATGAAACCACTTTTATCCCAAATGGTATAACAATACATCCATTTTATCCATATCTGAACTAAAAGACCATTAATCACGTGAAAATTCCGACCTATTAGTACTACCGTAAAAGCATAAAACGACAGTGATCACAGGTATTTTCAGTACCAACAAATTGATGTCACCTCAAATTTCCAAAATTTTGATTCAAAATACTTTTGATTGCATTTTTTTCATTGAACATCATGTGAAATTTGATAGATTTATTAAAATTCTTCTTCTGAACGTTTAAATATGATAATACTAACAGAATAATCATCACTAATTATAATGACAAAAAATGCCTTTGTCACTTAACTTTTTCATGATGACTTCATCAATTTCTCATTAACATTTGTCATCAAATAACAACTCCTACCCTTTACTCTTTTTAATTTCATTTTCCTCTTCTCTCAAAATTACTTGGCAAAAAGCATTTCTTCACTTCCTTAAGCATTGATTTTTTAAAATGTGGAATTATTGTCCTTTTTCAAATTGCAGATTGCAAAAATCTGTATACATATTGCGAAAGATGGGCAAAAAAAGGCTATTGTCAAAGATCGCCAAAATACGTGGGTCTATACTGCAAAAAAGCAATGCGGGCTGTGTCATTACAGAGCATGTTAGTATTGAA